GGGGAAAGAGGGAGGGGAGAGCGGCGAGGAAGGTAGCACGGGTCTAACGGTTTTCTGGTTTAAACACTCTCTCCCCCTCCTCCCGCTGCTGCTAACGTTCGATGGAAACGAAAACGGTTAAAGGCTCGTGCGCGCTTTGCCGCGTCCGCACGTCCAGACGGCGCAGGGTCAGGCCGAAGCTCAGTGCCCGCTGACCAAATACGCAGAAGCGAACCAGCGATCCGCTCGAGGCACATGAGAACGAAGCCACGTCTTTAATTTTCTCTAAACGATCAAAATACGGACAATCGATCAAACTGCAATATTTATCACAACTAAAACAGTAAAAAAGAAACAACAGTATCAAAGATGCGTTACCAAAATGGACACGGTGCTGCAAAGACTTCTGGGGAAAGCTCGCTGCAAGCACAGCGCATGTGCGCCTAGTATCAGCATGATGCATGGAGCCGGACCGTTAGGGGGCGCGATGTTTGGAGCGTGGAGCATTCCTGAGATAGCGCAATACAACCGGACACGGTTTTAAAAGGTGCAGTTTCTATGTCATAGATTACCAATAACAATGTCGCAGACGTTAAATAGTGTGTAGATAACAAATAATGGAAATTTTACGAGCTGGAGGATCACTAACCTGGTAATCCAGAGGCCCAGGAGAATGCCTTTGGGATATGGGTTCAATTCTAATCATGGTAGATTGTGGAATTTGACCTCAATTAACAAATCATGAATTAAAATCTAGTCTGAGTGATGCTGATCATGAAACCATTGTAAGGTGTCAGAAACATTCATCTGGTGTGCTCGAGTTAGCGGGGAGGGAGGAAGGAACTACGTGTGACTCCAGATCCACAACAATATGGTTCAGTCTGAAACGGCCGAGCAAGCGGCTCTGTTATGTCAAACAGCTAAAAAGTAATACCATCAGATAGAGGAGCAGAGGTAGGCCATTCAGCCTGTAATAACTCAGGAAACCGAACTGGAAAGGAGCATTTTTCATTTTTGAACACCAAAATAGAGTCATAACTTAAAGCGTGCAAGGATTCGTCCTAGCCTGGGACAGGCAGTTCTGCAGGTGCATCCTTGGGTCTGTTTTTTTTACACGGGGTCTGCTTTTTATAAAAATCAACCTGTTCAGAGATGTTTTTACACACCTCTGGGCAAGTGGGACTTAGAGGTAGCCTGGCTCAAAGATGGGAAACTACCATTGCAGCACAAGAGCTGCCAAAGTATTAAAGTCCCAGTTGGAAACCAGCAGGTATGGTCAATATGGAGATTGAACCTGTGACCTATGCGTTATTAGCACCGAACTCTAACCATCTGAGATAACGGGCAGGTGGGTTGGGAGCTGCTTTTCTCCCCTTATTTCTCTACTCCGGAGTGCTACCACGCACAACTGAGCGACTTCCCACCACCAAAATCACTGTCTTTTTGTTTCCGATTAACTACCCCCAGTAATCATCCATGTAGTCAATCGAATATTTACAAGCAAAGCCCATTGTGGGCAGTGTGAACCATCAAAAGTGAAGAGGGTGTTTAGGGAGAGAGGGAAGGCATGAAATCAAAATTTGGAGTTGGAGGGTTTTTTTTGTTTGATTAACCTATTTTTTCCTAATCAACTTCTTCAGAAATGTTGTTATATGCCTCTGGAGCAGGTGGGACTTGAATCTAGGTGTCCCAGCCCAGGGGTAGCGAGACTTCCATTGCACCACAAGAGGGTCTGCTTTATTTTCTATTTTATTTATTTATATTTTATTTTTATTTACCCCCTCTCATCCTTCTAAACTCTGGTAAATACAGTCAAATCAGTCTCTCTTCATATGTTGTCCTGCCATCCCTGGTATCAGCCTAGTGAACCTTTGCTGTAATACCTCTATGGCAAATATATACTCTTTTACACACGGAGACAAAAACTGCACAAGTACACCTGGTGCAGTCTTATCAAGGCCCTGTATAACTGCAGTAAGACATAGGTAGGGACACTACCACTGCACCCTAAGAGTCCCTCTGCAGTCTACTTGATCAATTTACTGTTTTCAAATCAATCAGTTCAGAAATGTTATTACACACCTCTGGAACAGGTGGGACTTGAAGCTGGGCCTCCTGGCTCAGATCTCAAATCCTCTTGCAATGAAGGCCAACATACCATTGCCTTCCTAATTGCTTGCTGCACCTGCTTGTTTACTTTTATTGGTGTACAGGGACAACAGACCCCTTTGCAGATGCACACTTCCCAATATATCATCGTTTAAAGAATACTCTATCTTTCAGATTTGCAAAGGACAATTTTAATATTCGCAGATGACACTAAACTTGTAAACTGTGAGGAGGACAGTGTGGAACTCCAAAAGGACATTGACACATTAGTGGAGTTGGCAGATGAGGTTCAATGCAGAGAAGTGTGAGATCATGCACTTTGGTTGGAAGAACACTGAAAGTCACTAAAAAAAAAGGAGGTACAATTCTGAAGAGGTGCAGGAGCAGGGGACCCTGATTATATATGTGTACAGATCACTGAAGGTGGCAGGACATGGAGAGAGCATTTAATAAAGTATTCAGCGTCCTCAGCTTTATTAACAGGGGCATAGTGTGCAAGAGTAAGGAGGTAATATTGAACCTGTTTCAGGCACTTTTTAGACCTCAACTGGAGTGTTGTATACAGTTATGGGTGCCACATTACAAGAAAGATGTGAATGCATGAGAAAGAATGCAAAAATGATTTACGAGAATGATTCCAGGAATGAGAAGCTTAATTTATAAGGGTAGATCGAAGAAGCTGGCACTGTTCTCCAAGGAGAGAAGAAGGATGAGAGGAGATTTAATGCAGGCTTTCAAAGCATTAGTGGGTTAGGTACAGTAGAGAGTGGAGCTTCTAAAAGAGAAAGGAATCATTTCAAGTGATGAGCAAAAGAAGCAAGGGTGACATCAGAAAAACCTTTTTCACATGGCGAGTAGTTATGGAATGGAATACACTACCTGGAAATGTGGTGATGATGTCCAGGTGCCAGAGTTGGACTGGGGTGGCAAAGTCAGAAATCACAAGATACCAGGTTATAGTCCAACAGGTTTGTTTGAAAACACAAGCTTTCAGAGCCTCGCTCCTTCTTCAGATGTTAGTGAGAGAGGTGGTATCAGTCACAGACTTTATAAGTAAAAGATCAAAGCGTCATACCACTGATAAGGATGTAGTAAACAAACCTAAGGTGCTGTTAAATCTTTAATTTGTTAGAAGAGTTTAATTGGTTATTATGCATAAGGAAATGCCTGAATTTCTTTCAAGTCACTTTTAGCCCTGAGAGAACTAAAGGTTTTATCAGTGTAAAGAAGAGATAACATTAGTTCAGACAGTGCACTTTAGGTGTGAGCCCTTGTTTAGAATCTGTTTGTGTTTTGGTTTGGAGTCAGACTGGTTTTATTTCTAAAGTCATTTAAAAGGAATTTATAAAATGCCACATTGACTGACTGTCTATAAATGGTGTGCTTTTTGAACAAAATAGAATGTATCTGCAAAAACTGTGTGTGTTTGAGACACTGTGTGTATATGAGAGAGGATTTGTGTGAGCGTGTATGTGTGTGATTGTGTTTGTGTAAGTGAGTATGTGTGTATGTATGCGTGCACGTGTGTGTGTGAGAAAGTGTATAGTGTGGTGGGATCACCTGTAGTGCGACATGAACCCAAGATCCTGGTTGAAGCCATCCTCATGGATACTGAACTTGGCTATCAGCCTCTGCTCAGTGACTCTGCATTGTTGTTTATCCTGAAGTCCGCCTTAGAGGACATTTACCTGAAGATCCAAGGCTGAATGTCCTTGACTGCTGAAATGATCCCCCACTGGGAGGGAACATCTCTGTCTGGCGATTGTTGCATGGTGTCCATTCATCTGTTATTGTAGCGAATATGCTATGCCTTGGGGCAGCCTTGCCTGCAGCGTACAAGATAGAGAATGTTGGCCGAGTCACGTAAGTATCTGCCGTGTACGTGTTGGGTGGTGTTCCCACATGTGATGGTAGTGTCCATGTCGAAAATCTGACATGTCTTGCAGTGATTACCATGACTAGGTTGTGTGGTGTTGCAGTCGATTTTGTCCTGAAGGCCGAGTAGTTTTCTGCGAACAATGGTCTGTTTAAGGTTTGGCGGTTGTTTGAAGGTGAGAAGTGGGGTTGTGGGGAAGATCTTGGTGAGTTGCTCATTGTCATCGATAATGTGTTCAAGCTGCTAAGAGCATGGCGTAGTTCCTCTGCTCCCCCGCTCCCAGGAATTATTGGACAACAAAGGGATGAATCCTGTGTCTGTCTTTTGAAGAAGTCGTGTACAGTTTTTCGCTGTGGCATGTTGGAGCTGGCGATCGATGAGTTGAGCATCATATCCTATGGGGGTGTCCTTCAACACCTTCAGGCGTCCGTCACGTTCCTTCTCATCCGAACAGATCCAGTGTATGCACAGGGCTTGTCCGTAGTGGGTGGCTGTTTTAATATGTTTAGGTTGGAAGCTAGAGAAGTGCAACAGGTTCAATTGAGACAATCAGGAGGGCATTCAATGATTATTTGGAAAGAAACGGTGTGCAGGGATATAAGTAGAATGCAGGAGATTGGCAATAAGTAATAGAACCTATGTAGGCACGAAGGGCTGACCAGCCTCCTTCTGTACTGTTACAATTCTGTCCTCACCAAACTACCTGTCACAGTTACATTGGTCTAAGACGGTTCTGGTAGGGCAGCACGGTGGCTTGGCGGTTAGCGCTGCTGCCACACAGCGCCAGGGACTTGGGTTCAATTCTGGCTTGGGGCAATCGTCAGTGTGGAGGGGTTGCACATTCTCCCTGTGTAGGTTTCCTCCTGATGCTCCATTTCCCTCCGAAATGTGCAGGTTAGGTGGATTGGCCATGCTAAATTGTCCATAATGTCGAGGAATGTGGATTAGCCGTGGGAAATCTGTCAGCAGTTCAGAAATTGGCTCTGCACCATCTTCTCAAGGGCAATGAATGATGGCTCTATCTGTGATGCACACAGCCCATAAATGAATAAATGGAAAACAGCACAAAAGATTTAAAAAGTGCAATCTCCACGTAACAGATCACCAATAACAACAGTCCTGTGGATCAACATTTTTTTGAGGACTCTGAGACTTTCTCAAGTTTCAGGTTTGCCATTTTGGTTCTTGGGGTCTCCTTTCTCATTTTCGCATGTTTAGAACACAATTCTTCCTTAGTTTTTTGATACTTTCTTCCAAATTTGGATTCTAGGTACAGTTCCCACAATACAATAATAAATAAGATTTCTGGTGTATAGTCGTAATGTCAGTGTACTGTGTAATCCAGAATTTCAGGCTAAGGTTCTGAGGTCATGGGTTCAAATCCTACATGGCAGATAATAAAACTAATATCCAATGAAAGTCTGGAGCAAAAATAAAGCTGCTTGAATGAACATCAATTGTCTTTAA